AACTGCATGGTTCAAGTCCCAGAGCCAATGGCCTGAAAAAGACACCAGGCGTGCGTACATTGATATCCCAAATCCCAAGAAGAGAATGGAAGAGAAAAGATTGCACTGTGGTCATCCCTCCTTGGGGGATACTTTCTCACTGTCTTTCTCTCTGTCTCTCTGGCCAATGCATGTATTCTATAGCTAGTTCATTTTTTTTAAGTTTCACAAATAAAAAGTGTCTATACCATGAGAGAGACAGAGAATGAGTGTGTGAGAAAGAGGTGCACACTCACAGCAGGGTTCCTATGTCACAATCCACCTCCCAGCAAGCCAAGGTTGGGGGCATGCATGTGGACACACCGCAGCGTGCCCGGACATGAACCCGGTACCTTTTCCATGTGGGTCCAGTTGCATCAGTGCAACTTAACCCCTCCAGAGTTTTATTTCTCTAAAACACTAATGCTTTTGAAGTGATTATTCAAACTATAAAATGTATGTTGAAAAACTTAGGTCTAATTAGATTACTTAAAACTCATTGATAAGAGTACACATAGAGAAAGTTGCGGAAAACAAATTTCAAAAATTGATTCTGGGTGCAACTGTGATTAGTTATTGACAGTAATAAACCAGTTGAAAAACTCCGTGTACACTCCAGAATAACTAGATCTTCTCAAGTATGTCCAGCCTTAAAAGAAACACAAAATATATTAATAGAAATAAATATGCAATATTTTGTTCATGATAATGAAATTAAATATCTGTGACAATACAATCTTCATATCTAAAAAGTGGATATTTTGGGGGACAGCCAGTGGCATGGTGGTTAAGGCGACTGGATCCAGATGAAAGACTATAGAGTTTGAGTCCTGGACCTGGTGACTTGAAAAGCGTGCGGGGCGCGTGTGTGTGTGTGTGTGTGTGTGTGTGTGTGTGTGCCCAAAATCCCAAGAGGAGAAGGGATTGTGGCATGGTCATCCCCCTGAGGGTGCTCTCTTACTTTCTCTCTAGTGAATACATGCAGCCTGTAGTAAATTTAAAAAAGAAGAAGAGAAGAGAAGAAGAAAAGGAGAAAAAAAAGAAAAACTAAAAATATTTTCTTTACAAATGTTATTTTTACTGATAGTTGTAATATAAATCTAATATAGCTAATGAACTAGTATTATCATTACAAAACATAGTTTTAGGAAACTGGACATGGACCTCACCAAACCCAGGGTTTGAAACCCAGGCCTGAAGTGGGTAAGTAATTGCTATGTGTAAATGTCATTTTTCTATTTTAAATTTGAAATGCTTGGAGGATGAAGTCCAAGGTCCATTTCCGGAGTGACCCTTTTTCATTTGTTTAGGGTTCTCTCCATTTCCTTTTTCTTTTCATTTTCATTTCATAATCTAACAGTGCATGTTCACCAACCATCCTTTCGATTATTATATGTCTTTAGTTTTGCTTGTGCTTTGCTCAAAATTTCATTCTGTCCTCACCCAGCAAACAAGTAATTGCCACTTCCGTAAAGGCTTCCTGAATTCTCTCCTCTTCCCAGGATTCATTATTTAATTTTTGTTCCCAGAATGAAACACCGATTCTCTTATAAGCCTCTCTCTCTCTTGTAATAGTGAATAGAAATAGGATAATTCTAATCATTTTCATCTCTAGTCCAATACTGAATCACAATAGATAATTTGTAAAAATGTTTTAAAGGAATGAATTAAGAGCCTGCTGGGTGGGAAAGCACATGCATAAGTGAGTGAATGTGTGGATGAGTGAATGAATGAACAAACAAACCACTGAGGAAGAGAATAGTTGAAGTTTCACATGCTCAGCACTATTAATATCTTGAAGAGGACTATTCTTTGCTGTGGGGAGGGGGAGCATATGTGCACTGTGAGATGTTTAGCAGCTCTGCCGTCTACACACTACATGCCACTGGTATTCCCCTTACCCCCACCAACCCACTAGACATTGCCAAATACCCAGCAGGGGCAAAATAGCCCTTGCTTGGCAACCACTGGAAAAGACGAAGGATGACTGAATGCAGCAATTCAGGGGGAAGGCAGGGATGTGGTCTCTGTTTCAGTCCAGCTATTTTTCCCTTGTGATTTAGTCCTGCTGAGATACAAATTCAATTCTTAGACATCTCACAAGATATTCTTAAGATGTGATATCCAAAAACAGAGTTCTTAGAAGTATATAGTATAAACTATCTACAAGCAATATTAGGAGCAAAAATATGTCTTCCTTATATCAACTAATTTTGGTTTACTATTGTTTTTGTAAAACAGCATTTATCCATCGTCGATGTTATTAAATGGCACTTATTTCACCCTGCCTCAAAATTTGCTCCTAGAAAGAAGCCCTATGGTTTTCAAAATTTTTCTAAATGCCACTTCATAGCACCATCTTGTGGATCGTAGAGGAAGTCATTCAGTTTAAAATGTCTATTTCTCCAGAAAAAGAAGAGAGAATAGTGAGATTTTTTTAAATAAAAATAAGTTTTGTTTATTAAAACGTCCTACCGTACTCTGAGTAGGGACTTACTAAAGTGTGACTTCAATTTTGGTATTTGGACAAGATTTTCTTTTTGTTTTATTAATTTACATTTAATCACTCAGTGTACAACGTGGTTTTTCCCTGCAAGAATACAGGGGGTATTATACAGTGCATATTGGTCAAGGCAAAGACATTACCGTATATTTTCATCCACAGATCACTTTTCATTTTGTAACTATGAAACGTTTTGTTCGGTTTTTTTTTTCCTCCCACACTCTATTACCCACCCTCTCCTAAACTGCCCCTAGTATCTACAGTTGAACTCCCTGCTATTATAGCTCCCAATCTTTCAGTTTCTTTGGCCAAGATTTTCTATTTGGCTTCAACTCTAGTTTCCCTGTGGCCTGCAGAAAGTCAAATAGCTGGGGCCAGCAGGTGACTTTGTTAGAGTCCCGCAGTTCAAGTCCTGGACAATGATACTAGGCACATCTATGTGTGTGTGTGCCCAAAATCCCAGGAGAGGAATGAAGGAGAGATTGCAGCATGGTCTTCTCCTTGCCCAGCTGATTTCTCACTTTCCCCTCTCTCTGTCTCTCTCCATACCTACTTCTTACCACCACTCTGCATTGCACAGTCACCATCATCCACAGGCAGCAAAGTATTGGAAGAGCAAAACGTTGAAAACTTAGGGAAGAATATGGGACCAGCAGGTAGTGTAATGGTTATGTCACTGGACTCCCATGTAGTCGACCACAGTTCGAGTCCTGAACCTGATGGCTCAAATTCATGCCGGGCACATGGGTATGTGTGCCTGAGATCCTGAGAGGAGGATGGAGGAGAAGGGATTGCAGCATGGCCAACTCCCTGGGCGGTGATTTTTCACTTTCTGTCTCTCTGTCTCTGTCTGTCTGGCGAGTGCACGCGCCCTATAGCAAAAACCTCTCCAAAAAAAAAGAAAAGAAAAAAAAAAAACTTAGGGAAGAATATGAAAGCTATATTAAAATAAGAAACTAAGGGAAGACTATGAAAGCCATATTAAACAAAATAAGAATCTTTAAACTGTTAAATTTTTAAAAAAGTATATATGTTGACAATAATATGAATATTTTTTCTTATAGCATGATGTCAAATTTTAAAATGTAACTATTAATCTTTTCATATAAATATAGTTGCACGATATTTTGCATTTCTTTTTTACTCCCAGGAAGTTTATTCTATGAGGATATCTAGAATCAGTCTCTGAAAAATGATCAAGTATTTGACCATTTGGCATTTGGTCGCAATATGTATTTGATATACTTCTATTCTAAAGCTAAAACGAGTGTGAAATGGAAAGGAGACGATGTCAGACAGAACAGATTTTAGGTATCTTCCTCTTTTTGAAGCATGTGAGTTTTTCTTTTCTGACTTGAAAAAAAAATATTTATCACAAGATACCAGGCATATCAAATGCTAAACCACATGTGTTACTGATATGGAAAAAAAAACATTTCTAGTAACAGATGTAATTTAAATGTAATTTTATAGGCAAAATGTTTAACTGATTAAAATTCTTACTTGTTTTTTTTTTTTTTTTTTCCATCAGGTAGACTTGAGATAAACATAATATAGCCTTTTACTAAAAGATTTTGTTCCTTGATCACCTCCTTTGTTTATATCTTCAAATGGAAACATCAAGAATTGCCTTTAGTGTTCAGCTTGGGGCTTTGGGTCTCTAAGCTCCATTCTTCTCTGAGATAAGGTACTATTACTTTGGGAAATGGTGAGAGTGCAAGGGGGTTCAGAGAATTTTCTCT